CCCAATAACACCATTGATGCTGAGTGAATCAAATGACACAGAACTCATGTACTATATATATATATATATATAAGTCAAATGGCTTTGATGACACCTGCGACACACAACGGAGGGGCTTGGAAGTCTCGCCGCCGACGGGAGGGGCTTGCTCAGGGCTGATTCAAGATGAGGGGGCATGACTCATGATGCAATCGAGGGTTCTATAGGTCTTTGAAGTCTTTCTGCTAGTTACTATAGTTCTTATGTTTCTGGAGTGGTGGGGTCGCCAGTGCACCTTTGTCATCATGCCGACTTATCCCCACTGCTTCCCCCGGTCGTCCTGTCACACCCGGAGCTCATGTGCGACACGGGCCCACGTGGATCCTCCTGGCGCCGATGTGAAACAGTTTGGAGGGGTTCATTTGTACCAATTGGCTCATTCACTTAAGGTCTTCTCTTTAATGAATCATCCAAGCAAGAGTGCAAGGCTATCACTTAACAAACAAGTGGTCTCTCTATGAATCAACCGAGGAATAGTAGGCCATCGGCTCGCCGATAGCAAAGAGGCCCCTGCAGTGGGCTCGCTGGGACATCAAGGCGTGCTTTGGTCTGTTGTTACTTGTTTTTTTTTTGCGGGCACTGAAGGATATCAGTAGCACTGGAAAAACATCAGGACATAGCAGGACATCGAACTTCATAAACTTAATAAGATGTTTGCTCCTGAACTTCGTGGCACCTGATTCTTCTGCTGACAACCACCCTAGATGTTCCAACTAACATGCTTGATTCCCATCGCTCACCACACCTCCTCGTACTCGTAGGTCTCCTCAACAAGCAGTCTGTACTGATCAACAAACGGCGCGTATCGAAAAAAAAATAAAAATAAAATAAAAATAAATAAAAACACCCGGAGGAGTAGGGGCTTAGCAGCTGCCGGACGCTGTAGGCGGGTTCTCAGCTTCAAGCCATTCCGGGACATGGGAGAACTCACCGGTCGAACGCTATGCAATGCAAACACATAGAACGCGTACGCACCACATGGTCAATTACAGTAAACCCCACAGTAAACCACGGCGTCACCGGGTGAAAAATCTATAGACCTAACAAATCGACCAGACTTCAGGCTACCTTAGTCCATGCGTCCGAATGTTCCCTACCGTCCGGAACAAAAAAAAAAACGCAACATTGCGGTTGAATATAGAGTGTGGGTCAGTTACTTAAAAGGTTCAAACTAACCAACTTTCTTGACCACATCCGATGAACATCCTGGTTTAAGAAATAGTACTTAAAGAGTATATATAATTACCCTTTTATGAAGACCTAAAACATACAACTTGGCCTTCTGCTTTACAATAATGATAAACCTGCTTTTGAACTTACGTGGCGCAATGGCTTGTAACCAGTAGGTATCAATAATAAATGACTCTTTCTGGAATTGGGACAGACGCTGAATGGGGCAGGTTTGATTGGAGCCCCAGGATCCTGGTCCTAAGCCATGTCACAGGGGGGCCAGGGATGGACAAAATAATGACAAAACATGTAAACACAAATATTATATCGATGTATTTTATATATACATATATATATAGGTTATATGTCAATATGCGCACAAAGTGTGCACAAACCAGGTTGACACAAGCACAATCAAAACAACTGGGTGTGTAGTAATTAGAATGGGGAGAGCCCCTGGCCCAGTTTTGGGGTCTACCGGTTCATCGTTCGTCCATGTTTCCTGCTTGTAGGGGGTCTTGTGGAGTTGCCCGAAAGGGATATCCAGTTGGGCCTTTTGCTGAGGCTTTGGCCTCTGATTCAGGGGATGGAACTTTGTGCTAGAGTCTCGGCCTCACAGGCCACAGGCTGGACGCCATCCAAACAGCATGGACCGCCTTCCAAGAACGAAGCCCCCCCCCGTTTAGGGGCCGAAATCTTGGTGAAAATCGGAGCATCAGATCGGGAAGTTGGTTGCTTGACACGAACGTTTGGTGAAAATCGCGTTTCGGCACCGAAGGGAACATAAAAGGCACCGTTGTTGGTTTTACCAGAGCCTCCGGTTGGTGGTTGGACACCAGTTGACCTCGATTTTCGAGGCGAAACATCCCCTTAGATCCCGATCTCGTGGGCTTCGAACCGAGCATCGTCCAAATCTGCCACATTGAAGGTCGTCACCTGACGGCTCGATCGACGCCACGGCTCGAGGTCTTGGGGTCGAAGGATCGTCGCAGATTCGAAGACATGGACGTGGCGTCATCAACCCCATGGTGTACCCTTTCAATTCGACTCTGTGGGTTAGCTGCCATCTCAACACCGAAACGTAAAATCATTGGATTCTTCACAGGTGGGCCAAGCTGGGCGAGGTAGATGTCAAATGTTCCTCTGACTCCCTCAGTCTCCCTGAGCAAATGTACAGGTTATCATGGTTAACCCAACTTTCCATCTGTTTTTGACTGGGGAAACCCATCCAAAAAAGAGTTGGGCAGGTTGCATACGTCAGAATTGTGCAATATATGTTGTCGATGTTATCTGAGATGCAGCTGACTCTGGGACTGTGAAACGCATCTGCACTAGCGACTCGGGAGAATCCCGGTGCAGAATTCCCCAACGAAAATCCACGCACACACATACACACTCTGACATTGGTTTGCTGTTAACTCAGTTCCCAAGTTGAGAAGGAAGGTGGTGGAACGGCAAGGCGAAAAAGTCCGGTGACTTGAATTGTTGAAAAAATGTTTCACTCGCGCGGCTGGCTGCAATTCACAAGCGGCTGAAAGCTGCGGTGGGAAACCTGTTTGTGGGGAAGGTATCGTGCGAAGCCACCATGAATCAAATCGAAAGTGGAAAAGCGTGAACAACATTTCAGGTGCAGGTACGTCAGCAAGCGTCCTTGCCGATATCCTAGGATCATGTGAGGAGCTTCGTTGGATGGAGCCTCACATGTCCTCTCCATCCCCCTGGTTGGTAGTACAATTGGTAGGAAGTAACCCTTGGAGACAGGGGGTGACACACACACGGTGCCGCTTTGCGGCGCTCGTGCGAAGAGCCTGAATATGAATAGTTACCTAAAAAGCCTTAGAAACAAAAGAAAGAAACACAGAAAGAGCAGCGCTAAGAGGGCAAGAGAGAAAGGTAGGAGTAGAAAAAAGTGAATACTTAGCCCTTGACTGGGGTAGGGAAACGAGCCTCAAGAGCAACCTAAAAAGCCTGAGAGAAAGCCCAAGAAACGACCAAAAGCGCAAGAAAGAAAGCGGTGGGGGGCAGGGAGGTGTATGTACATGTGTGTGTCCGTGTGTGTGTGTATGAATACTTAGCACTCT